TTCCCTACATGCCTTAGCAATTCCTGCTTAATTTCTACTTTGGCTAGCAAGTCTATATCTGACCAAGGACTTGTCCAGATGGCTGTCTGTAGGGGAACCTGAGGAAATAGATATTTCCTGCACCCCCTCTAAGCTGTACTAGACAGCTACTTCCTGATTCCTTCTTTGGGATAGCATCATAAAAACAAGCCTGGTTCACTGATACAGTGGCACAGTATCCTTGACACTTCACTGCAGAACCTGGGGACCCTGTCACACCTTAGTTATCGTTCCTAAAACACACCTTCACCTGAAAGGAAAAAGTGCAGAAAATGTTTACGTTCTGCATAATTTAGCATCACTGAATTTTCTTCAGTAACTGAGCAGTACCAGAGCAAGTATCCCTGGGAAGTTTCTAAGTTTTAAACCTACACATGTAATCTATATTTTACCTTAAATAACTTCCCTATGTAGGAGCCAATTTTCCTCTTACTACATTTTCTATTCACATTGTTTTTATATTATCTTCCAGGAAGTCCATGCTCAGTATAGCCTTCTGTATCTACAGGAGTGTTTCACTAAGCAGAACGATGCAGAAGCAGTCTTAGAGCCATTCACTGTGGATGACTGTTGACTGAGGAACTTTTGCAAACAGGTCAATGGTTATCCGCTTACCAGGAACACTTCTGACTGTCAAACTTAGATACACACACACAGAGGGACACAGACACTTGGCACAACTCAAAGCCACAGGAAGAAACTCTGTATGCTTTCGAGGAAAGTGCATAAAATAGGTAAGGAGTAGCATGGCTCACTTCCAGCACTTGCCCCTGAGAGCTTGCTCCATGCCAGGCACTGAAGGACCACCTTGGCCGCTCTTGGGAATGGAGAGAGCAGGTGGTCGTGCTGGCTGTTGAGAAGGACTGTCCTACTTCCAAGCAGTAGCCGCTGCCCTGGCTGCTTCTTTCAAACCACCACAGGAAGTGCTTTTTTCCCCTCTAGGAAAAAGGTCTGACCAGATAGCAATACTACAGTGAAAGATATTAATATGATTGTGCCATCATTATTAGACGTTGTTAGAGCACTCTCAACAAAACTGAACCTCATTAGAAGCTACGTAGTGTTTTAAGGCTAAAATATTTCAAGGAGATATATGGCTTTCCCTGGAAAATTCTGGGGGAAACTCTCTGGTCATTTCAAGGAGGAGAATTTAAAGTAGTACTCCATTAACAGATATTTCAACACATCTTATTTTGCAAAGATGTTTCAATGGTTTTGTTCCCTCCTCAAAGCAAAGCAAGAAAGCAGTAAGCTTTGAAAACTCCAGAGTTGCCAGAAAGCGAAACATGATCATCCAGAGAGCTCTCAGTATACACTTAATTTAATTAACCACCTTTCTATCCTCCTTTTAGTTCTGCTAACACTCTTTGGATTACAAGAATTATAAAGTACACAAATACAAATGGTTGGGAAAGATATTTAAAACCTAAAATGAAGCAAATATAATATTATTGAGATTTCAAAGTGTCAGGAGCTGATTTTGTTAGAACTTCAAGATTGCTTTGAAGTACGAATAGAAGCCTGGTTTCCCTTGAAGAATAAGGTTTTTGGAGAGTGCAAGTGTCCCTCAGACTGAAAAAGAATAATGGTGAGTGTATGAGAGAACAAAAGGAAGACTAAAATAAAAATTATAACACATTTCTTCCTTTAAAGTCAGAGTTCTTTGTTTCCAGATTGAATTGTTTGAATAGACTAAATAGTGCTATTATGTGCTATCCATTTAGTTGCCAATGCAAAGAGGCTTTTGATAAGAAAATGGAGAATTGAGGTTGTAACGACTAATGATGAGCTGCAGAGATGACAGAAATCACCCCAAATTAATGCATTAAGTCTTCAAGCTGAAGAATGATACATCAATATCTAATACCACCTTTAAAGCTTTTTTTTAACCTCCCCTGCAGAAAACAACCAAAAGCAAGCTCTCAACTGAATAACAGATGAAACACACTGAGGACGCTTCCATGACAACTTCACAGTTACTTTACAGATGCCAGTTCTGGAAAGTCCTATGATATCTCACAGGGACGTAATCAAAAAAGGTTCTCAATATATACATTACCTCAGAATCTATAGAGTTTGGCAGTGAACAGTATTCTTTCTTATAGCATGTTAATCACCCTATACAATTTGAAAGAAAATAACAATTTTTCAATAATCTTTTTAAACAAGCTTTTGACTTGCCTCATAGGATTGTATAGCAGG